TGGGATCCGCGTGATCTTTTACTGTTGCTAAAATTTATTGTCTTAAAATAGGCATCTGTTGCGCCATGTTCCACTGCCGCTTATTATGCTAACATGTGTCCACCTTGTGATCCGTATGCTCTCCGTAAACGTGCGTTTTCAATGTACTTACAAGACCGGTCACGAACGCTACCGTTCGTGTTGCCTCACGAGTCTTTTATGTGTTTATCCCGAATTTTTTGTCAACATTTAGCCAGGTACATACAATGCATGCCATCAGTTTGGCAAGGAGGGAGGCGTCCCAGGGGATAGCACGTACGTGTGCCCCTGTCTTTAGATCGAGAACGTGCCGCATGAGCCACGGTCCTCACTCAGCGCCCCTGGTAAGCCACGGAAAAAACGGATTATTTTAGCACGACAAGGCTCAGCCGACTGGGGATCAGAGGGTCACACGACAGAGATCACAACGCTCTTTCCATTTGGATGCAAGGAATGTTTTTGTTGTTTTTTTTTGTAACAGCCGTGGGACGTACTGAATCATAGTGCCCTACGACGCCGGCCGTAAGTTAAAAACATACTTCGAAGGTAGATCCTCCACCTGATTGCATCTCAAAGAGGGCTTCGAAGAATCTCAAAAAGATGTTTCTGTGAATTTCGCTCCAGCCAAGGTTCTCAAAAAGCTGCAGTTTTACACGGGATTGAAATCGGCAGTAAGATCACAATGAAAGAAGTTGATTATGCTGCAATCTGACGTCATCAGGCGTCTGGCGTCTGCACGTCCCTAGATGGCAGGAAAGCCAAAACCCACTCCTGATCTATGAATACGGTGTTCGTCGCTGTGACTATTTGCGGGAATTGTGAATTGTCTTTGGTGTATTCTTGTTTGGACACGGTATCAGCTAAATGTTCCACGACGTATGCTGCCATGGAATTACTCTGTGGCTGGGCCGGCCGCAACGGTAATTTCCAAGTTACAGCGGTCCATGACAAATACTTGATGTGGCGTTCGGCGGGTGCAGCCACGTGTGCGCGATAACACCGTGGAAAGCGCTAGCAGCCGGCAACGTTAATCAGTCGTCGGCAAACAGCACCCAATTCGCCCATATGGCTGCTGACGGCGCATTTCTGAAGGCGGCCGTACGCACGCGGGTGTGGCTGTCAACATACGCAGGCGGGAAAAAAATATCGGTAATCGCGGTGAAGAGTCCGGTCATTTTCACTTTATAGCGATGTTGTACGGCTATCAGCTGGCAACAAACTTATTCGTTAAAGACGTTCATGCTATTGGTTTGTTCACCGGACAGCGCTGCACTCAATGCTGGCGGGCCGGCTGCAGAGACGATTTGCAAGCATACGGTGGTCAATCAGAACTACTGATTGTCGTGCGCGGTGACTGCGACTGCGCGCAGATGATCACGTTGTGGGAGTGCTGACGGCCGGCGGCGTTATCGGCCGTCGGCATACAATGCCCATTTCGTTCGTTTGACCGCAGACGGCAGATAATTAAGTGAGGCTCGCCGAACGCAGAGAGTGGTTGCCAACACGCGCAGGCTGGGACACCAACTCATCGTGCATAAGGCTGCGACAGTGTGCATTTGAAGCACTGCTGCAGGGCTGTCAGCTGGAACTGGGTCCGTGTGGTCCGCTTGTCCGTCAAAAGCATCCATTCCACTGGGTTGACGTCCTGGCGGCGCACCGACCAATGTTTGTGTGCTGGCCGCAGTGGAGTTTGCAAACATACGGTGGCCAAAAACAGATATTTATTGGTATGGCCGGCATTTACATGTATTGGCATGGCCGGCATTTATATTTATTGGTATGACCGGCATTTATATTTATTGGTATAGCCGGCATTTATATTTATTGCTATAGCCGGCGTATTGGCATTGCTATCGGCTGGCAACATTGATCGGTCGTTGCCACAGGCCATCTGTTTTGTTCGTATCACCTCTTTACAGCGCATTACTGAACGCGGCCGGCCTGGCGACGCCGTTGAGGCTAGCAAACGGCAGACCGGGAAAACACCCGTACTCGTGCGCGAGTGAGTGTGACCATGCGTATTTGATGGCACTATTGTAGAGCTATCAGCTAGCACTGGAACAAACTTGTATGCTGCAGTCTTCTATTTTATTGGGGTGAACCCCTGACGGAGCTTCACTTAATTTGGTGGCGAACTGAAAATGGATATGGTGGCGAATTAAAAATACTTATTGCTGTGCGCGCGGGTTGAATACCATGTGCATACGGTAACACTATGGGGTGCTTTCGTTCGGCATAATTAATTGGCTGTTGGCAGACAACATATTTTGTTTGTACGGCCTCCTGATTGCGCATTGCTGAATAAGGCGCCCGACCGAAACGAGGTGGCCAACATGCAGTTTAGAATAGATATTATAAAGCCCGCACAAGGAGCCCGAGCATGTGCACTTCAGGGCACTGCTGTGGGGGTGTCAGCTGGCACCTGGACATGCTTGTCCTTAGAAGGTATTCATTTTCTTCGGTTAACCCTGACAGGTCATCACTTAATGCCCGCTAGCGAGCCGCGGAGGGATTTTCAAAGTTACGGTGGTCAATCAAAAATACTCTTCCGTCCGTGGCGGGCGTGATCATGTGTACATGACGGCACAGAGGGAGAAGCACCTGCCGGCAGCGGGAATCGCCATCGGTGGACGACCCACACCTTGTTTATACGAGGGAGCACTACTTACAATTGCTCGCGAAGATCGCGCTCGCGAACATTCCATCTGTTGTGAGGCTGTCAACTAGCACCGTAGCAAGCTTGTCCGTCGAAGGTATCTATTTTGTTTGTTCGGCACCCTGACTGCGGATCAGTTAATGCTTTCGGGCAGATTTTGTTATTCTGCGATAATTCACATGCGTCCATATTTTCAAAATGACCCTCGAGGTTCGTCCAGTCAGCTGTTCGTCATTCTGGCATGTCGGCTTTTTTAGATGTCGTCATTCTGCAGTTGCCGTTTGGTCGCACGGTATTTCGACATCAAATCTCTTTGGCGTAACTACATTTCGAGATTCGGCATCCAGCAGGTCGCCATTTTGGGATGTCAACATTCTTCCATCCGTCCAATTTGCTATCCGCCATTTTGATGATTCTCCTTTTTGGCACGACTTTTACATATTCTAATTACGGAAGTCGTCATATAGCGGTCAACAAAAAGGCGTTCCGCGAACTGCGAGTCATCTTTTTGCCTCTCGAAAGTGATCGTCTTTCCACGACGTGTGCCTCTGTATTTCTAAAACGCGCTTTACTGCACATAAAAAACTTTAAAAAGTCTGCGGATGGGCGCACAGCGTTGCTGCCCATGCCATAAAAAGCTAAGGGGAGGTCAACGCCTTCGCGGTCACATCTCCACGCCCATGGTAGAGATTGAAAGACTCACTCGCACGGCGTCGACGAACCTTTTTTCGCAAGACCCTTGAGGCGGAGCCCGGCCCCCGACTAGCCAGGAGCCTGGACTTAAGAATTTCTGCACTTGACATCATCCCGGTGGTTTCGTGGCACCAACACTTACCAGTGTCGGCATGGGTTTCACTTGATAAGGCTGGCTACCGCGCCCAGCGGCAATAGCATAACAGACCTTGGTACGGCATGCAGCCCTTCGCTGCGACGGTGCCGTGCATTCCTTTACCTGCGCAAAATCAGACATTGAGCAACATTCTCGTTCGTATATTATGAAAACGGCACTGCTGTAACCGTAAGCGATACAAAACAGGACAATAAACGAAGGAAACAGCTCGTAGAAGGCAGGAATGTTTGTGTGGGAAGGCCGCTTCCGCTGTTCCGACGAAGCGAACCGGGCTTAACATATTTCAACACCAAACGCAACTGAGTCGGTTCCAGCCCTCTGGTGAAATGAAAAAACTCGCATGCTTCTTGGTTCGCACACTCAGTCTGCTAAGCGCATACACCAAAATCTTCGAGTAACTCCAAGCCATCTGTAAATATAAAGGGAAAGATTACGCTACGTGTACCACGTGTCTCATCGAGCTTTGCCAGTACACATATGTACCTAGATGTAGCGATAACTCGTGTTCAGCTCCGCAGGGTTCACGGATTACTGCAGCGCAGCTATAGCTCCATGTCAAATGCAAGGGCTCAGCGAATAAGCAGACGTCTAAGTACATGTTCTCTTGATACCATCGGCACAACACAACGTCGCCAGAGATAGACAGCTAGACACCTCCACACCACCCCGCACCACCACAACACCAGAGTCCCTTCGCAGGGGACCACACCCAGTGATCGCAACATCGGCCTTCCTCAAGGACAGGGGCGGCACGACGGGGTGCCCAGAGCCAAGGCTATCATGCAGAACCAGACCCATAAGAGCGGGCGTGCAGTGACGCGCGGGATTACGGTACTGGTCGCCAGCGCGCTGGCCCTACTGGTTGGGATGTTTTGCAGTCACAAGCGTCGCGACCAACCGGTGCCCACAACATGCAGGTATGTAAGTACATCTGCGTAATGCTTCACAGGCTACCAGAACAATGGCATGATCGACCGCAGTTCAGCGCGCCTCGACTCATTACGAAACTCGTTGCCAGATATCTGCCGCCTACACACATACGACAGATTGAAAAGGTGTTCCGAAGGTGCATCGCCAGAACAAAACACACTCAGAAATCGACATAAATCAGACGCCTTGCTCGGACCAGCCCTGGTAATCCGCTGTCACCACATACCCACCATCTAACCATACTCCTTAACAACGGGAGCACCAGCCGTGCTCGATCCACATCTTCCACCGCGCGCTTATCCTCCGCGTAACAGATCGCCTACCACCGCGGCCGGCCGGCGCCACGCTCGCCACCGCCGGTGCCGCCCTCCATCACATCACCGCCAGCACGCGCGGCCGGGTGCGCCGCCGCCGCCGTCCTGCCCGGTCCTCGCGGCCGGGCGACTGGCGCCCTGCCGGGAGTTGAACAGCGCCGGCGCCGCGCCGGTGGCGCCGAGCCGCCGCTCCAGGCCGCTGGCAGCGGCGGGGAGCTGGCGAGGCGCCCCTCGTGTGCACCTAACACGCGACGCCGGCGGCGGCCGGGCCCTCGTTACGGCTCAAGCTGGTGCGGCGCCAGCTCAGAACTGCACCCAGTTGTTGGAGGGTGTGGTGGCGGCCGGGCCGGAGCTGCGGTGGAGAAGGCCCGTTACGCGCCGGCCCGCACTAGGCGACCCTCTCTGCGGACTGATTACTGTGCGGTGCGCTTTGCGAGGGACGAGCGATATGGGGGGATGTTTACAGCCCAGCACAGGTGGCAAGCGTGACGGCTTCTACGACGCTGCCAAACAAACACTCTGTGTCAACAGCTCCACGCCACCAGCGCCGAAGACACCAGCGCCGATGCCGGCGCCCAGTCCGCTCACCTTCTGGCCGAGGCGAAATCGCCCCACTCGCTGGCGGCGGGGGCGGCGGCGGGCGCGGGAACGGGGGCGGGGGCGGCGGCGGGCCGGGGCGGCGCCGCGATGGACGCGCCGGGCGGCGGCGGCAGCAGGCCCAGGCCGGCGCCCGAGCCGGCCGAGCCGCGTGGCTTGGCCCGATGACTGGGCGAGTGGTCCTCGTCTTCGCCGCCCTCCTGGTTCTTACGCTGCCGGAGACGGGAGCGAGTTACGGTCGGGGTGAGGGTGCACCAGGGCGGCGGGGATCCGTTGCGAACGGGTGGAGTAACACTCATGGAGTGGCTGCAGTTATAAGGCACTGAAGGTGTCAACGAACCGTGAACAAAATTTGAGCAGCCGCTGATCAGAGATAGCTACCTCAAGCATTTAACAAATAAAATACAAAAATACCAACGCACATCTTGCGCAGAAATGGAATGGTTTGGCTGGAGACACCTCCGGATAGACAAATGACATAAGGTCAACTACTTGTGGCACAAGACACGACGATACAACCAGATATGCCGCACAACGAGAGTTACAACACCAAATCAGCTTACGTGTAATACAGGCGGGCCAAGCCTGCAAACAAGCCAAGACTAAACCACTCACGGCAATTTTCATGTTGATTTTGATTGTCTGCCCGTCCTTGAAGCCCAGGTCCAGTTTCTGTGTCGGTTCTGTCTTTTCCTTCTCGATCTGATGCTCCTTCTTGACCCACTTGAAGTGGTCTTGTAGCGCCACGTTGAGATCGAAGCTGTCCGAGCGGTCGGCGAATCCGACGCCGATGAACGCCGTGCGACCTGCGACAGGCGCCTCATCAGCAGGGCGTGGGTACTCTGCACAGCACGCTTCGACCCGCGACAGGCGCCTTGTCAGCAGGGCGTGGGTACTCTGCACAGCACGCTTCGACCCGCGACAGGCGCCTTGTCAGCAGAGCGTGGGTACTCTGCACAGCACGCTTCGACCCGCGACAGGCGCCTTGTCAGCAGGGCGTGGGTACTCTGCACAGCACGCTTCGACCCGCGACAGGCGCCTTGTCAGCAGGGCGTGGGTACTCTGCACAGCACGCTTCGACCCGCGACAGGCGCCTTGTCAGCAGGGAGGGGGTACTCCACACAGCACGCTTCGACCTGCGCCAGGCGCCTCGTCAGCAGGGAGGGGGTCCTCCGCACAACACGCTTCAACCTGCGACGGGCACCTCGCACGGCGCGGATCCTCCACGCCGCGCGCTTCAACAGCCCCCAGGACACGCCCAGTCATGACGCAGCCGTGTGATGACGACATCCGACGCAAAAAAATAATATAGAAGAAGTGTAAGATATGGCCCCTGCATTAGAGAATTGCCCTCTCACTAAAAAGGAGCGTGGTATTTCAGGCAAGATGGTAACTAATCACAATAAATGCCCGGAGACTCTTAAAGAATGCTGCATTCCCTAATGCCCGGTGATGTGGATACGTGAGTGCGGTGCAGAGACACTCGTCGGGTTGGCACCAGCCACTAACGACTCCGGAGTATAAAACTGCGCCGGATCCCGGACCACCCATCCAACGCTCACCACCGTCGTCCATGATGCGCAGCACGAAGTAGCGGGACGAGTCGGTGACGGCCTCGATGGCCACGCTGGGGTAGCCGTCGATGGGGCAGTTGGCGAACAGCTCGCCCGAGTTGCGGTCCTCCAGACGGATGGTGCAGGCGCGGCCGCGCGACGTCAGCTTCATGCGCCCCGTCCAGTCGGGCGTACCCAGGTTCCAGTCAGCCGCCCTGCCCGGTGGGAGGCGGCGTGTCACGGGGACGTGGGGTGTACCCCGGCCGCGGTGGCGTCCAGAGCGAGGCCGCGCGGCCAGCAGCCTCCCACGGGGGCTAGACGGCCGCTTAACAACCGGAACACTGAGCTCTGCGACTGTAACATACGGCGGAAGTCAGACAGCCACGGAGCCACAGAGAGACGTGTCAGCTACCACAGTGCATAAGCGAGAGGGACGGCGAAGGGGACACGAGGTCGAATGGCACACATAATTAGGGCCGCTGTCCAGCCACTGCCAAACAGAGGGAGTAAAGATGGCGTCATTTGGCCAGCCGCTGAGTGCCGGTGGCGCCCCCTCACCGGTATCCCCTTGCCGAGGTGCGCGGCGGGATCTGGTAGACGAACACCTCCTGCTTGACCAGTAGCGTCGACTCGTAGTCCTCCATGGCGGCGGCGGCGGCGGCGGGCCGCTGGCGGACGGGTCGGCCCGGCGGCTCACGGCAGCGGAGGCGGCCTGGGTTCGAACTCACGCAGCCGGCAGAGCGGCGGCGCGCGCGGAGCCACTGTCAGCGAGCACCTCAGCCTGAATGGAAGACATGCGAGGACTGAGCATGGCTATGACTGGAAAATGGGCCTCCTTTGTCATAATCTAGATGCAAGACTCACTCTCCGAATTCACATGCACTTTTAGTGGTGATCACATAGCTTAGCATCTACATTACATTGTCAGTATTGAGTATATGTCATGAAACAAGTCCTGGTAATGTAGCCCAACAAGAAAATATACATAGCATAAAGGCCAAAATTATACACAACTTAAACAAGTCACAGGCCAGCAGTGGCTTTCAGCTTTCATGTCATCTGGGGAGACACACATCAGATGCATGGTGATATTAGATATCTACACCATCAACTCCTCCCATTGTTCTCTTCCATCAGGTATCACACTGCCTTAGATGGGGGTGGATTTTAATGATGCATTGCTGATTAATTACTTTACAGAAATTCAACCAGCCCAGCTGTTTCCTCAGCTGTGAAATGCTTGTGCTTCTTCATTCGTGACAATTCTTAATACCAAATTTACAACATCCTTCTGATGCCTGCATTGTTGGCTAGTGCATCTGCCAGAACAAAGCAGCACAGGATGTGTGGGGACATGAAAGGCTACCTGCATCAAAGCTTGGACTATGGCATGGTGCTAGTGTGATCAAAATGAGAGGCCTCGGGTCATGTGGAACTGCGCAGCCAGCCGACAAGCCTTAGGTAAAACTGGTGTTAGCATGCCAGTGATTTTGCAGCTGCAATCTTTCTCACAATCTTATATCACAAGATGTGGGTCCAATCAGAGATTGGATCCACACACTGAGTGTTTAAAGGCGGTCTGAGACTAGCGGCTCATTTTGGTTGTCATGGCTTTGAATATTTGCCGAAACCACTAAGGGGCTGCATATTATCACACCAGACAAACCTCACATTTCAAGTGGACCAGTAATGCATTATGCAATGTGTCATGCATGATGGGGAATGTCCAGATCTCTGATATTGATATTTATCTCCTACTCATGTTACTCTGGCACAATATACTACATAATGCAACTTGGTGCATACAATAATACCCTACAGCAGATTATGTATGGCACAAGTTTAGTTTCAGAATAAACTGAATACCCTACAGCATCCTTGCACCTATGCCAATGGCAGCACTTTGATGAAAACTTCAGTTTAAATTCTAAGCTGAGTTTAAAGCCTCAGTTGGGCCCTGTCAAGCACTTTTGGGGTACCAGAGCATGTAGGATCCCACAATCATGCCAGCCAATGTCCTTTGCCCTTCCTTTTTTTACAGAAGTAATGCCAGCAAAGAGTAGCATTGCATCTATACACTCATAGGAACCATATGCAGATTGGTCATGTCCTAATCTGATATCCTAAAGTAATCCTAGCTAGAATGGGTACTCAAAATATTTATCATGGCCCTTAGTTATTAAAGAAAAATAGCTGCTTTATAAAGTCAGAAGTTTCACATTCTGAGCATCAAAATATTGAGAAAAAAAAAGTTTTTTGCTAAGTCTGACCCCTTGATGGATGGCCTGGATGCACACTTTTATAAATATAATGATGTTTGCATGCTTTAAGCGAACAAGCTGTGTAGCCAGATAGATACCAATGACCATGTCAATTTTGAAGCAATACAAGCAGCAAAAATAAGGAGTTGTTTATTTTTTACCAAACACAGATTTTGTGTATGGCTAACTACCCCTTATCTTGTTTTCTATCATTCCAAATTGGCATGTTTTCCCTCCACCCTTATACATCATGTACATCTTACAGAACTACATGGAATTTGGTATCACAACTAATACTGTTCATATCACCCAAGTCTTCATCAAACCCACACAGGCTCGAAAAGCTGTACCACCCACATCTCACATCTGAAAGTAAAACCAAAAGCAGCTGAATGCCTCCAAAACAACAATGGTACAACTTCTCAAATGTGACATTATAATCTATGCCCAAAATTTAACAAGATTATCTAGTCAAAACATAAACAAATGAGAACTACAACTAGGAAGTGTGTGCATTCCACATATTATATACCAAGCTCTACATATTAATGCTTGCAAAAGTATTTCCAGCCATGGTAAGTCAATTTTAATTTTTCATTCTTGATGCAACCTTTCGAAACCTGGATGATAACATCTCTGAGGCAAACATCACACTTGGTTCCAGAATGAGAAATATGGATGAGAACACCAAAAATATGGCCAACTGTTTCTTTGTCAATAGCTGGAAAAAATCGGCTCCTTGCTATATCTGCCAAAGTGGGATTGAAACAATTCAACCATGTCTTAGAAGCTTAAACCACGTGCCGGTGGCCCATTCTACTAGTTACAAGGCACACATCTGTTTTTGTTTGGCATATCTAACTAGCTCATTCCAGGGCCGAACATCACGTTTACAGCATATTACACTTAATTTATGTCAAAGTGGAGGGCGGAAAGATATGCAGCATGACCTACATATAACCAGAACGACGGGAGCCGGAGGTCCAAAATGGCAAAAAAAAATGTGGAACGTGCTTTACAGGCCACTGATGCTACCCGGGGTGGTCACTGCTTGGCTACTACAAAAACCAGGACACGTCAAGCAAACATACACCACTCGCTTAGATGACTTAAGTTTTAATGCACCGCTTCCCACCTTCCGACTGAAATGACAGCGTCACGCGCTACCCAATTTAACACATCGGAAGTGTCTAACCACAAGAAGACATCAGATGCAGTCGACAGAGATAGCGCATGATACATGATCGGCGCACCAGAATACGATGCTAGGAACACGCCACTAAAGTTGTCTTTTTCTGTAAATGGCCGTGAAATTGGTGGTGGACGGTCGGGAACGGGAAACGATGGTCGTGCCAGGGACAGCGGCAGGATTTTGAGCGACACATTGGGGGCTAACTAGGTAGAAATGCCTAAACCGGCCCTCAAAATACGCAAAAATATGTTTTTCACTGAATATAGTCACCTTCCTCTTTATGTTCGGGCAGTGAGCAACAGCCCGTTCAGAAGGCTTCCCGCATCAGGGAGTGAAGTGTTCTCTTATATTTGTCCGGGACTATATTTTGTTCTACTTGCATTTGCATTCCTGGGTATGACGCTCTAGAGCTACCTAGCTACCTGTGTTATGCATCACAAAACGCGGTTTGTGATCGAGACGTGCATTTTACGTTAAGCTGGTTGAAAGCTGTACTGTGCTGTGTTGTAAGCTGTGCTGGCTGAAAGCCATTGCTGTCCGTTGACGTGGCGACTCGTGCTAGCGCACTTCAGACGTGAATTAGTGAACGATGTTGTTTACCTTGAACACAGATTGGTAATTGTAGGTGCAGCAGTCATCTGACGTCTCCTTGTTACCATACGTCTCTGAGCATTTTTAAAATAGGCAGCGGAAATAGTCCGCAGAAGTTCTTGTGTGCTTAGCTCAGGAGCGAGACTGCAAGCGTATCTTAAAAAGTCCTTTAAAATAGTTATTTTGAAAAGGCATAATTTTGAGCTGTAGGGAAATAAATTTTGAAAATTGATGCCTTTTCAAAACCCCCAAAAATGTGGGACAGTCGCTTCAATCCTCGTGGACAAACCCGGAGTGGCAATTTGCAAATGATACACCGCCCAATTCGGAACACTTTAAGCCTTGCACAGTGGGCACGACAATGTGCACCTGATATCGCTGTGGGAGCACATCGGTCTGCGAAGTAAAATACCCATCAGCCGGTGTGACATTTTTTACTCAAATCACCCCTTGAGGACGCATTGCTACCCGCGAGCGGCCTGCCCAAAGTGTGGTAGGCCGGAATAAAAAGGACCGGAAAAAAATACTGCGATTGCGCGCGAAGATTGTGACAGTGGGCATTTGGCAGCACTATGAGAAGGGCTTAGCGGCACCCAACAGTCTCATCCGACTCAGGCATTCATTTTGTTCGGTTGACAGGCCGACGGCGTCTCACTTCATGATGGCAGCACTGCCGCAAAAGGGATATGTTAACACGCGTTCTGGGGGGTCAAATTCACCTTCCCCGGAACGTTTTTTCAGAATGGTTTTCCGAACGGCGCGGCGTAACCACGCCAAATTTTGCATAGCTGTAGATAATTGAATAGCGGATCATGTGGCATAAAAGATTTAGGTGTGCCATGTAAGGTCGCTGACCTATGGCAGGTCAAAGTCAGGCCATGGTTTCAGCGAAGGCAATTTCTACGGAAGCCTTCAATCTGATCCAACAACGTAGTGTTGGACGAAGCCATGCATCCCTGAGATGCTTTCTTAGGCAACACAACCGTTGAATGGGCAAAACGTATTGACCTAAGGTCAGATATAAAGGGCAGACCAAGGTCAAAACCAACCTTTTTATCTTGTTTTGTTACTCTAAGGCTTGCTGTACGGGATAGTTTCTGGCACTCATTTCCAATTGATTGATGGCAGGAACCGCATTATATATTTTCGATATACTTCTTAGAGGTCAGAATAGGTCATTGACCTTAAATGACCCAGGTCAACATTTTGTTTTCAGGAACATCCTGCCTAGCGTGAACTTCGTCACTTATTCAAATGCAAAACTCATAGCAATCTTGCATGATTTTCATCACCACGACCTTAAAAAGGTCAAACAAGTTCACTGATCTTGAATGAGCATATGATCATTTGCATAGAAGCGGTTATCTAAGTGCTGGGGGCACTTTGGAGACCAACCTGGAATTTGACCTTGTTTGACCTTGCTTGGCCCGAAGGTCATAACCTAGGAACCTGAAAATTTGACCTAAGTGAGTTCACGCACAGATCAACACACCCTGTAAATTTTGTGTCTCTAGCTTTCTTGCTTGCCGAGATCTCAGGGGGGCCAGACTGAACCCCCCACCCGAGCGAAGGGTATCCAGCCGGCCATCCGGGCGCGCGTTAAGATACGGCGCCTGGCGAAAAAAAAAACTCATTCGTGCACGGCGAGCGCAACCATGCGCATACAAAGTCATTGTGGGGGTACTATCAGCCGGCAGTGTAAATCGTTCATCACCTTGACATGACCTGGTTTTAAATCAGCCGTTTAAGTCGCATGGCTAGCTGCGGCCGGACTCAAGCACGAAGTATCTATGTATCAGTATCAGCATCAGTAGATTGGAAACCATCCACATGGTGGTTTTTTGCGGTTTCAGGTTATATGTCAAATGACATACAAGCGCCGTATAAAAGGGCACACACTAAAATTATACAATAAAGTGATACGAGCAATGGTCAAAGAGTTAAAACAGATCTATCTATGCACTATGGGGCAGATAAGATCAGTGGTCAGCAGTCAAAATCACATGGCGTGTGGAGTCTTAAGCGCGCTCAGTATTGTGGCATCACAGGCGTAGGATAGAAGACGGCTCCAGGCAGCTACGGCTCGATACAAAAACGTCCTCTGTGTGGTAATCAATCGGTGTCCGCGCAGGTGCAGACTTCCTCTGTCCGAGGCGCGCACTTGACTGGTCGAACCAGCAGTGTGCGGGACAAAAAGTTCGCAGACCCCGCGAGGCGCGCCTTCCTCCTTTAGCGTCCCAAACATTTAGATCACATTGCGGCGGGCCACCATGGCCTCAGTTATCGCCATCCAAAGGAATTTATAACCGGAGTTATATAATGATCTTTTGGAGCCGGCAATGACTCGTGAGCAAAGGTGATTGTTTTTATTGATTATTTTGTGTGGTTGACTCCTGGCCGCTCCAACCCACACGCACAGCCAATACCTGATATGAGGGAGCACGTACGCCTGGATTTTGACTTGACATCTGATTTTGAGGTCCTGAAGTGAAATAATGACGGTTTCACGACGCTCGAGGCATGCGCACCCAATTCACCAGTCGCCTACGACGTTGGTAATTTTGATACTACTTGAGATATGCACAGCGGAACCATTCGCGTCAACATGTAAGTCAGCTGACTTTTTACATTTTCTTTTGACCTACAGAGAGTAAAGGTAATTTTCGTTTCGTTTATTTGGGGGGAGATATGACACTGAACCAGCACTGAAGCTCACGCATGGTAAGTTCCAGTCAGGTTTTGAGGCCGGCGAGACCTGGTCCGTCAGCGGGCATTCGATAACGCTGCTGTAGGGCTGTCAGCTGCCAGCATAACCCACGTATCAAGCTAGAGAATGCATTTTATTCGGTCGACCGCCGACGGCGTCTCACTCAATGCTGGCGTGCCGGCCGCATCGGTGATTGCAAAGTTAATGCGTTAATGCAAAAGTTAATGCTATAATAATTTTGGTAATGCGCGGCGGGTGGGCCACGCTAGTGCGATGTCGTTGTCGGAGAACTTTCGGCCGGAAATGCAGATAGATCATCGGCCAACAACTTTTTTTGCTTACATCACCCGTAGCGGCGCGTGGCTAATTGCGGCTGGCATTCCCGCGGCGTGATAGGCAGAAGACGGCGGCCGGAGAAAAATGTAATATATAACATATAAAGAATATAATGGAAAATAGAGAAAGGAGTGCGCGCTCAAAGAGCGCGACCGTGTGCATTCGATAGTGCTGCCATAAGGCTGTCGACAGTGAGTGAAACACACTTGGCTTATTACGGCATCCGTTTTATTCGGTCCGCATCCCGACAGTTTCTCACTCAAACCTGGTAGGACCGCTGTCGCTACGATTTGCAGGGTTGCGAGACACACAACTTCACACAACGCAACTTCTAGCAGTCGTTGAACGGGCTGAACGTTAGCGTGTTCTAGGTTGCAGGAACTCTAGATATTGCATGAACATATGTGTAGACGGAAGTCGGGAATCGTGCCCGTAGACAAACACCCAGAGAATGTCCATTACCTTCATCTTTCAAGGCTCTAGAAGCGGGTTGAAGAGGCGAGCTGCAGCAGAATGCAAACAACGGTCGTTTTTAATGTTCCCATAAAATCGCTTTTAAGACTGCAGTTCTGAATTACTGGTATATACGCATGCACTGCGCTTTGTTTGCAATTCATGGACGCAGTCTGAATTTTCTTGAAGGGAGTGGTCCACATTTCCATGACCTTTTGACTGAGATAGTCATCTTGTACACCATTTTCTACAGTTTACAGTATTTTCCTTTTTGATACTTGTCTGGTTTTTGAACGTCACCCCGCGAACTTGTGCAGGCTATCTTAAGGCCACCCAGGCATTCACGATGTCATAGAAACGCCACGCAAATACCGCCGTCACATTGGCCATGTGGTGCTGGAGGTCAAGAAAAACGTGACCATCGAGTTGTTTGTGTCTGCTGTACGTCAGCACCATTTCCGACATCACCTGACTTCAACTAACCCTCAACCAGTGCAGTGGGTCCAGTGCGAGTTTCGAACACAAATCACGTTTTGTGCCACGTAATGAAGGAATTTTGGTACTGGTGCGAGTTATGGCGGAGACAGGGCTGAAAATTGAATGGCTTAACGGGAGTGTCCCACCATTGAGGCACATTTCAAAATACGCTCTGGTGAAACTGCAGGACCTTTACGCGCAGTAATTAAACTGGGTAGAGTCACTGCAGCAACATCAATATATCATAACCGATAAATTTGCAACCTTTTAGATTCCAAACTACTGTACACTGTCCACACTACCATACTGTTAACGCTTCGGAACTGTACTAAATTTTTTCGTTTCTTGGCATGCCCAGAGTGTATTCTGAGCCTGCGACAACTGCAGTTGTCGCGTCCGCCATCGTCATGACAACGGTATAATCTGCTCCGGGCTGTTTGCAGATCTTACGGGCTGGAGG